CAACGGACGTTAATTCTCCTTTATATTTATTATTTATCTTACTAAATCAAGACTACAAAATATTATTTGAACAATCTTTTCACATGTGTGTATTGCCATTGAGGACATCGTTTTTTGACATTTTAAATGAGGTAAAATAATTGTAAATGAAAAATAAGCTAGGCCTAGGCTAATTAATTAAAAAAAATAATACACCAGTACAAACAAGTCTGTCGTGGACTGCGAGTGGAAGAGGAGACTCCCATGAAGTCAAGTGTACGTTTTTCTTATTGAAAAACAGTTCCATACTTTAAATTATCGGTCTAAACTCGTGTTTGCCATTCACAAATTATCAAACAATACATTGTTTATTCCAGTAAGCTACAGCAGTTCTTTCTGCACATACAAATAAACAACATGCTTTTGCTTCGTAGGTTCGCTTCGCGTAGCCTTGCTTAGATTGTTTATATCAGGCTACGAAGCCTGCGCGCAGGTTAGATTGTTTATTTTCGGCTACGATGTATCTACGAAGCCTACGCGCAGGTAAAAGTGCAATATTTCACGACTGTACTGTAGGTAGATTGAGATCGAGGTCACGTCAGGCGCGAGTCGGTGCAGATGCGGTCACATTACGAAAATCTCACCCGCAGTGAGTAAAGCCAGGCTTGAAACTCTAGTGTGACCGTAGCCCTTGACTCAGTGTCTCACCAGTGTCTCTTGAAGAAACTTGATAACGTTGGAGTCAGAAACAACACCCTAAAGTGGATAGAATTCTTCTTGACTAATTGTTTCCAACAAGTCGTACTTGAGGGAGTATCGTCATCGAGGACCTACCTCAGGGGTTCCACAGGGCACTGTCCTTGGCCCCCTGTTGTTCTTGGCCTTCATAAATGATCTTCCTTTAGGTATTGTATCCAAAGTTAGGCTGTTTGTGGAAGACTGCATCCTTTACCACAAAATTAACACACCAGCTGATTCTGATATTATTCCTGGACACTTTAGTAAATTTGGAAAAAAAATGGCAATATGTCATTAAACACTTCAAAATGTTTCGCAATGAGAATAACACATAAGAAAAATCTAATCGATAAAACCTACAGCACACTGGAAATAGTCAAACACCATCCATACTTGGGTGTTGAGCTCAGTTGTGACTTGAAATGGTCTACACACATCCAGCAAGTTTCCCTCAAGGCCAACAGAATGTTGGGTCTACTGAAAAGAAATATCTATATCTGTAATGTAAAAACAAAATCCATTGCCTACAAGGCATTGGTTAAACCAAAACTTGAGTACTGTTCAGCTATTTGGGATCCTTATCACAAATCACACAGTTACATGTTGGAGAGGATCAAAAATTGTGCAGCTCATTTCACGGTTAGTGATTACAAGGGCAAGTCAAGTATTACGAATATTCTTTTAAAATCTAGGGTGGGAAAAATTAAAGGACAGAAAGACAAAATTGCGCCTAACCACAATATACGGAAACGCAGGGACCTGTTTCTACTGGAAAGAAATAATCGATTAAAAATCGCTTTTTCGAAAAATCGCTTTTATTCTCGCAGTAGAAACGGGACCAGTTTGAAAAAAGCGATTAAAAAAATCGATAAACAACACGCAATGGATAGCCTGTTTGAACGGCAAATAACCGATTTTGGCTGTGCACCTTTTAGCTGCAACACAAAAAAAGCGATTATCAGGTGAAATGTGACCTCCAGGACAATCACTGCAAAGACTAGATTGTATTAGGCGCGAACTTCAAAAAAAATTTGTCCTCTTGTTCATGTCCTAGGCCTACAAGCTAAAAACGTCAACAAACATGAGGAGTGACGAATTCATTTTGTAATTATTTTGTGGGGGGATGGGTGATATTGGGCCTAGGATTCTCCGCTCTTTTGGGCCTACCGTTGTCCTCGTTCGGTCGTCGTTCATAATTGTGCCATTGAGCACAACCGAAAGCATTTGCCTTCTCGCCCCACATCGTATCTTACTCCTCGTCATCATGACAACAGGAATGAGAAAATACTATCCTATACAGTTAGGAAAACAACATGTTGTATAAACAAAATGGTGACGTAATTTCCGTCACAAAAACCGATTTTCGAAAAATCAAAAATGCAGTTGCAACGCCAGCAGGCTGTCTGGTACTCATTAAAAAAACGGTTTTAAAAAATTGATTATTTTGTGTTTATCAGTAGAAACACACCCTATGTCTCATTAGAAATATCCCAATAAAAACCATATTGCAACCAGGCAATCTGGTGCTTATGTTTACAAGGTCATTCCAACAAATAAAGACTGCTACCATCATTCACTATACCCAAGGTCAATTCCGGGATGGAACTGCTTGAGCGAGAATTTTCGAATGTCACCTAATATAAAATCATTTAAAGCTGCTTTGGACTCAATTAATATTCATAAATTAACGACTAAAGCTCATTACAATATTTAATTGTTACAAACACCTCAACCTGACCAACGTACAGTACACGACAACCAGCTTGTTGGTGTTTGGACAACCAGCTTGTTGGTGTTTGTACGTGATGATACAGATACAGATACAGCTCTACAAACCAACTTGATTGTACATGTTCTGGCCACTTGATTCAATTGAAAAAAAGAGTGCCATATAATATATAAATTATTATAGTCATCAAGGAGATTAATAAAATATTGTTGATCATTAATTAGTGGGCCCTGAACCTTCCACTGCCTATTTTTCAAATACAATCAACCATGAATCAACTAACACAAAGCATGCTTCACTACAGAGATAGCAATACGGAGCACATTTAATGTAGACAGTACTTCCTTGGTTACTAATATGGATTGTTTACTGATGGTAAAATCTGCTGTTCAAAAAAACATAAAAATTGCCCATTAGAATACTAGAAGTTCAAATGAAAAACAAATTGAGTCACACTAGTTTACATATACAAAAATTCTTAACAAATACCAGCAAAGTATTTGTCAAGACTACTGGAATGATGTTATGTACTGGCAAGAAAAATAGTTTTTTTTTTTCTTTATATTTTCAATTGAAAGTGAATAAACATAGGCCAACAACAGGCTAATTTATTCCAAATGTTGAAAGTTGTTAAGGTTTATAGCTGAGATGAGAGCAGCTTAGGCAAGACTTTTTTTATACCTTGTTTCACAAACTTATTTTCTTAAAGATCGTCAGAGGAGGGCAAAAAAAAACAAAAAGATAAAATTTCATTTTCTTATTAATTAACAAATAGTTTTGCAAAAAACATCCAGACTGAAGAGAAAATAGAAATGCAAGTTTCAGTAGCTCACCGTCTTTCAGATTAGATGTTAAAAACTATTGGTTACGTTACAGAACATAGTACGCTCTTCGGAAAAGAGTAGGGGATTATCTCCTGGTGTATGCCCAATCACCACCTGAAGGGCTCTTACTGGAAATAGGTCTTCTTCAAACTTTTGTGGGTTATCCTTAGTGTTTATGCCAATATCTCATCCAATAGCTCACAATATAGCCAGAACTTTAAAAAAAAATAAAAGTAATTCGTAATTATGATCTTGGAAGAAAAATTGGCATCATCAATAAAATGGAAGAAGGAAGTGTTTTTTGCATTAACAGATGTTATTTACCAACTAGACCCCTGTTTTGACTGAAGATCCTACCAACTTCCTAGGCAATCTTGGCAAACTACGGTAATACCAAATTTACTAGTAATAATGCATGGAAAGTACAGGGTACCTCTCTAATTGTAATCCTTGATTTTATTATCAATAAAATTATATTATGAGTGACCAAATAACAACCGTCTTCCAATTATTTCATGTGTTACAAGCCATAATATTGCGCTATTAAACACCCCACTAGGTCTGTCTAATTATCTTAATTATTATTATCTGCAGACCAATGATTGAGCTTGGTATGTTTTTGGAATGTTCCATTCTGCATGGAAGGTAATGACTGAAAAACAGAAGAAATGAAATTACAAGACCATCACTGCCCTCTATCTCTATTTATTATTATGGTACATTATTATTATTATAAAATTCAATTAGTTTATCCTGGTAATGGATGTGATGTTGCTAAACACAACACAAATTTAAAGCACAACTTAACAAAAAAAGGTAAGACCAGGGTGGATACCAGTGAGTGATATCATACATGGGCAAACTGAGCTTTTTCCGGATAATATTATTATGGTAGATTTATATAGTGCATATTGTTAATCCCTATATGTGCTTCACATTATCATTACCCCCGGTCATTGGATTAAATGCCTATGGAACACAAACTCAAGCTTCCTGCAGTGGGGGAGTATTCCATAATGTTACAGCAGCTACACCAGCGCATTTTGGCATTTAACCCTTCCAGGTTCCCACTTATACTCCTGGGTGGAGAGAAGTAATGCAGACAAAATGCCTTGCCCAATGACACAAGTGAAAAGCACAGCGAAGGATTGAAACCACAACCTCGAGTTTGAGAAACCAAAATGTTCCCGCTGCGCTAAACCATCTGTTCACTGCAGCTTCAAAACATCCGTTCATTCAACTTTAATTATAAAATGTTTGTACTACAGCATATATATACACACAGTAAAAATTTACAAAATACTTGTTCGATCAGAAGAAGTTCAATGAAAAATAAAATATCACGTTTTTGAATCCTGATATGAAAAGCATCCTCATACTGTTTGTTAAGCTATTATGTTCTCTGTGTTCACAACATTCATACCATTTCCTGTGTCCTCATGCAGTACCATACCCTATGTATCATAGGATTTCCTATCTGCTTATATTTTACATGGTGATTTTAAAATGAACAGATTCGTTGAGGCCTTAGTCAAAGGCTCAGTAAGACAGGCTTACACTAGTGCTTGAGCTGAATTATTAAGCAGAATTATGATATCAACTTACAATGCCTATAGGCTCTAAATCTGCTAGGTAACAATCGCATTAATTTCCTAAATGGTTCTGTTATAAGAAGATCAATACCATTACCAATTATAAGGCAACCAATGAAATCAGAACATGCTAATTTTTATCAGATATCTACCTGACATGCATGCATGTCTCTTGTAATTAGCAGTTAATAACTCAAAAGAAATTAATATCATAATAATAAATAAAATATCCATACCAAATTTAGATACCATTGTGCAAAATATAGCTGTATACAGTACATACAAATATTAAAACAAAATTTAACAAGTTTAATTATCTTGGAAACCCCACTGGAGGTGGCTTCCTGGTGGCCTCCTGATCCCCATCATTCCGCCTTCTAGGTCCTTCCTATCCTTCTGAATACATAATGGAATGTACCAAGAGCAAAACGTAAAAATAATTTGGTTGATTGTAGTAAAATTAATCTATCCGTGGCCTTTTTTAATTGTTTATAAGAAAAAAAGAACAGCATCAAACATCATATCTAACATAATCTCATAATGGGATATTCATTTAAATACCATGTGCCAACTGTTAACATCACAGATCACATCATGAGGTTGGTCAAACATGTGAAGCATGTCATCCCTACATATCCTTTATCTATCAGCCAACTGACAAATTATTCTGTGCACTATTACTTTTAGATTACATATTCCATTCCAACTTCTAGGTTATCTGACTTGTTCTGTTTCAAAATCATTATTCTACTTAGAAATGGTAATACACTGACCTAATATAAAATTTGTATTCAAGCAAAGAAACTGAAATGTTTGTAATAAGGAGTGACTTTTTTTATACCTTTTTTCGCAAACTTTAATATTTTTTAAAGATCATCAGAGGAGGGAGGAAAAAAAATAAAAACAAAATTTTGTTTTTCATAAATGGTTTTGCCAAAACATCCAGACAAATGCCAGACAGAAAAGAAAATTAAATAAAATTTTATTGGTGAATGCAAACAGTGTAATAATGGGATGGTTATTGCTTTAAATTTATATAATTACAAAGAAATATACATATCTTATTTTTGGAGATTTCAAGGCATGACAGGCATAATAGAAATAAAGGAAACTTTTATTTTTCTGAAAGTTCCATTTTTTCGTGGCGGTGAGTCTGTTAACTGGCTAAAAATAAAATTCTATTTTAACTTCAAATCATCATTATTGGCGGGCAGTACAGTAGGTTCGCTAAACAAGAAGTAAAAAAAAATCTCGCCTAAACAGCTTAAAACAGAAAGCACATTACCCAAATAGTAAATTCTTATTATCATATTAAATAAAATGTAAATTTACTTGGTTATTTTAATATGAATAACTGTTCTGGACCGCAACATATTTATGTATTACAATGTGCAGGTCAGAGTTGAAAATAAATATGGAAACCTCCAATGAAGTGCTTGCTTCATGTTATTAATGTATGCATAATCCATAGTAATCATACAGTACTAAGGATACCACATGTGGCGATGAGGATAATTCCAAACGAATCTTCAACATTCCTAAAACCTAGGAAGAGTAATCTTGAACCAGAAAAGTGAGTAACATATAGTGACTTTACGAAATCAAACCATGGGCCTAGAGAAACATGATGCGTCAGTAATCGACCCATTTTCGACCACGATTCAACGCTTCGAACCCAATGACGTCCCAAGCAATACAGCAGTCAAGTGGGAAAAGTGGCTTGCAAGGTTAGAGATGTACTTTGTAGCAAAGAACATTACCAAGGATGAAAAGCAGAAAGCACAATTATTGTTAATGGCTGGAACTGAGGATAAATATGAAGAAACTAAAGCTAAGTTTATGACTTACTTTTTAAGCCTATGAAGAACAGAGTGATGGCAGTGTTCATGTTTAGAGAAAATGCACAGAAAACAGCTGAAACCATTGACCAGTACGTACTAGGCTGAAGGAAATGGCAAAACACTTTACAAACATAAATGGAGTAAGGGCTCAAGTTACTACAAAACACAAACAACAAAAAGTTGAGAAGAGAGATACTGAAGCGCCCTGAGTGGGAGCTTGAGGATGTACTTAAAGAAGCAAGATCCCTTGAAGCATCAGGACCAGTGCAGGAGATATAGAGAGCAGACCTGAAGAGGTAAATAAAACTGGCCCAAAATATATTCACACAAGGGCAACACAAGGAAACAGACAGACCTGATATAACACCAGAAGTAAGACATATCCAAAACACCCACAAATGCAGAAATCAACAATGTATACTGTAGACTATGTAGGATTCTGGCCACACACAGGAAATTGTCCTGCAAAAGGAAAAATCTGCAGCAAATGCCACAAGACATGTTAACAAAATTGGTTGTCCTGGAAATATCACCCCCTCCCCAACCCATTGAAATTTGTCCTTGTAGTCATTTGTTTGCTTGCTTTTTAAATTCTTCCTTTGATTTTTTAAGTTACCGTAAGTTAGGTTAGGTTGTATGTCTTGTCTACTTGTGAATTTGTGTTTTTATTTCTACTGTATATTTAAACAATTTTACTACTGTATATCCAGGTCTTCATTTTATAAGCTCATTCGAGTTTCATGAAGGTTCTTTTCATCTTGTATCTAATTTTTAATATCTTTAAAGTTTTTTCTTGTCATGTAAATTTAAATTGATTTGACGATTAATAAAGAACTGAATAGAATCAAATTACAAATGAAGCCCGACTTCCTCAATGATAGCATAAGTGGGTGGGGTTGAGGCAACCTACTGTAGAACTTCTCAAAAGGGGTCCAGTGAGCAAAGCCCCCCAAAAATCTGAAAATTTAGTTATTAGACAGGCCAATTAATCTTAATCAATTTTTGAGTCTCATATTCAGTGAAAATTATAGAATTTTTTTCCCTCCCCGACGAATTGTTTTTTTCTTACCGATGAGGGAGCCTGCTCTCTCCCTGCCTCCCTAACCCTGCTCCCCACCAGGCCCTTCACTGTTTTTAGTTGAGGTAAAGCACATAGAAGCAATCTTTAAAATATCCAATATATAAATGGCAAATCATTATTATTATAATTTATAATAAATTAAGATGAGTGCTCTCCCGAAGCAAGGTTTGGCGGCATCATTTGCCAGATTAAAATGTTCCAAACTTGAATTACAAATATTAGAAATGAACATTAGTTCCAAAAGCAATTGTGAAATTTCACTTACCCTTGATTTCAAAAATTCTAAACTCTACTTATCATATAAGTCCATGCCAAAGAAAGTTAAATGTACAAACATACAGTAAAACTGATTTCTGAATTGTACATATAATCGTTACAAAAGGAAAATATATCTCTGACACACCTTCTTTTGCCGAAAATTACTATACAAACAAAAATAACTTTTAAAAACTTTGTCTGTTACTGCATCCTCCATGTGAAAAGATTTTAATTTTGAAAAAAAACCCATACTATTTTTGCTTTATTACAAAAATAAATTTATCAACATTTTTTTTGTATGTCTCCAACCTAAGAGGAAGACTGTCCTCTCTTAATTTTTATGATTTTACGTTCTCAATGATTTGGTGGCATAAAGACATGGAATAATGTCAGGTACTGAACAGATTATTTTACTAAAACTATAATATAAAGCATTTATTAGTG